TTTAAAACCAACCAATACGAAGGATCGTGCAATTTTATGTTAAATATGTATATTCCTTTGTATCAAATAGAAATTTCTAGTTCGCTATGTGACTTTTGACCTTAAAGCGTTTGGTTCATTCCACAATATTTAAACTTTATTTCTAATCAAGTTGGAATAAAGCTCAACCTAATAATTCAAATATTATACTGATTGTTTCTAAAAGAATTATTAAAACTTGCATTATGGAAAGGTGGAGCCAAAATTGAGACAATGGTCACATGAAATATTGTTGAAAAAAGAAAAAAAGATCTTGAGTAGGGACATTGTGATATCTCCATTAGATATTGAAACTTCTGCTAGTTTGGCATATAATTGTTAGTGTACTTCTAGTTGGAAAGCATCCAATTGCATTTAACCTTGAGTGGGTCAAGTCTCCTAGAGAAGTATTCCTAGTTACTCCATAATACACGTGGATCCATCAAAGCAAGAAGTGTAGACTATAGACTTGCAGGATCAAGTGGGAACTTGACAGGTCTCGTAGCTACTAAGCTTTCAAAAGGGTGGAACCCACCTTTTCCCTTTTTAGTATTAGAATCTAGCTCTTGCATCTTCATTCGATACGAAAATGAAACAATTGGATTTTGGACTCGCCCCCGACTGCGTGTCCTTTGGACCCTTCGCCCGCCCGCCTCCAGTGGAAGCAACCTAGCCAAAAAACAATCAAGACTTTTAAGAATACATAAACATAATAGTCTACATTATTTTATGGAAAAATTATGTGACATGGTAAATTAAGGCCTTATATTTAATCAAAATAGTGGTAATTTTAAATACTTACACTATACAATGATAGTTTGAGGTTTTACAGCAGATATGCGTGGATACGTTTTTTAAGCGTGTATATATATTGTATTTCATAATTATTATATGTGTAGATGTGATATATTTTGTTGCAGAAATATTATATGCGCGTGAATATATAACGTATTCACTATTATTTATGTGCATATGTATGATAAATCTAAATTTAAAAAGCGCTATTTACGTTTTTTTATTATTTTAATATCTTTTTAGTTTTCTTTTGAATGTGGCAGGCTTAGTAAAAGGGTGTGTTCTTTAACAAAATATTATTTTTATTTTCAAAATCAGGGGTAAAAGAAGGGAATTATGGAGAGTTAAACCCTCGTCAATAAGGTTCAACTAACTAAGCTAATAAATATTTTATTCATTTTATTTTATATGATAATTTTTTAACTTGATAAAGAGTGTCTGAGATGGATTTAACTTATATATTTATATATTAATGATAGTGAGAGAGACAATACAAAATAGTGGTTGAAAAGTTATTTTGATAGAGAAGTGTCATAAATCATATTTAATATTTTAAATAGTTTAATGAATCTAAAATTAAGAAAATTAAATTAAAGTCATATACAAATGGATCGGTTATCAAATACTTTAGCACAATACAAAATAAAAAAGAGTGTCATTTAATATGGTATTTGATATGACAAGTATTCATTACTATTTTTCCCATGGCAATTATATTTTAAATTTTTATTCGATGTTTCAATGTTGCTTCTCAATTAATCTGAATTTGTATTGCATAAGATGGAGGAAATTCACGGCTAAAGTGTAAAGATACCTAATTTCAAAAACCACCATTTAAGACATATTAGTAGTGCGTAAAAGTTGGCAAGTCAACTCATTTAATAACAATTTCACACATATGTTGTTCGACGTTACATGATTAATTTTCATGCATATATGATAAAAGTTCACTCACATTTGCTTAATTTTAGACACATATCATATGACTTAATCCATCATTTTTACTTGAACTTTTGTTTATCTGAAGTCAATATATATATATATGACTGAAATTCAGTAATTTTCTTGAACTTCAAACATAAATATCTAAAGTTACAATAATATACATGTAACTTTAGATATCACATATTTAAAAAAGTTTTGAAGTCTATAGCCGCAAAAAAAAGCACAAATAAATAACAGTATCCAAAACGTACATGTTGAATTTTTTTCAACTATATTAGCCCCCTCTAGATATTTTCTTTTATATTTTCAAAATTTTATCTGAGATCTCTAATTAAAGGTAAGATTTAAATTTAAAAATAACAAAAATCGACAAAAGCTACAAACTTAATTGGATTGAATCTTGATATCAATATCATACTAAATGATTACATGTTCAAATTTAACCAAACCTTAAAATATTTATTTCATAATCGTTCAAAATTCAACTGAAATCAAAGAATTAGTAGATCACGCGTTTCACTCAAAATAGAAATAGACTAGGGTTTAGATATTTCTAGTCATGTGGCATGACCATTGAATTTTTGTTGTTGGAGAATATGTAAGAACATTTGTTGTGTACAAATAGCATAATTATCACGAGGAGATGTCACACAAGTTTGTGGTCCATGTTGTTGTCTGGTCTGCCTAATGGCATTTAATGTGATATGTTGTCTTTGGGCTATACAAATACCTAATGTTCATGTCATTTCACAAAAATGAGTTGGAGTTGAGACACCACCAAACCTCCTCCACTCATGAGCTTGATAATGAAATTTAATAAAAATAATTATTTGAAATTGACTATTTGTTTGGTTTGAGATCAACTTGTAAAATGCTTCGTCTCGAGAGTAATAGTTTGTGTTTAACTAATTATTTGATAAGTGTTTTTATCTGACTAATATTCTTAAAAAGTATTTGGAGAATAGAAAATTTGATATTGGAGATCTCTCATAAAAAATAAAAGTAAAACACTTTTTTTTTGGTGAAAAATATATATTGTTTTTAGCTTCGGTATAAAAACATCTTCTACTACTATTGTTTCTAATTTACTTGTCAAATATCAAAATATAAGTAAAAAAACCACTTGTTTATTCTAAAAAAGAAATATCTTCTATAAAACATCTTTATACCAAACATCACTCTAAGCTCCTTTGTTTTCTACTTCTTCCGATTCAGTTTGTTTATCTTATTTTTTTTAGTGTATTAAAAAAAGAAGATAACTCTTTTCTTTTTTGACAAATCTTTATTTTCAACTTTCCGTATAACACATTTATACCATAAAGTTTAAAAATATTTTAACACATTCCACATATCTTTAATTGAAATCACAAGATGATGATTATTATTATTATTAGTATTATAATAAATCAAAATAGCACAAATAAATTAAAAAAAGAAAGTACTTATTTTCCTACTATTCCCTCCAATGACTTCCAAAACAGAAAAGATATGAGGAAACAAAACAAAAGATACAAGAAAACCCAAAATTATGTAAATAACTAAAGGACAATGTAGATAGGAGTGGGTATGTTATGGGTTTCCATCCAAGAGGGAGAAGAAAAAGGCTGAAAATGTTTGCTGTAAAACTTTAACACTTTGTTATAACATTTCATAATGTATTATATTATGTTGCATTGTATTATATTATATTTTATTCTTTAATAAATATAATATTTATATAGATTATGTTATATAATGCTATAGATCAATAACTTAAATAATAATCGTACAAGAGAAATAAGATACGAGACAAAACTATTATAAAAAGATAAAATAAAGAGTCAAGGGTCACATTTGAGTTATTTCATTGTATTGAGTTTCATACATGGTTATTGGGAGTGTGAATTTTTCGATGGTTAGTGAAACAGTCTAGACGTCGACTAGATAAAATATTTGTCTAAAAATGCTTCTAGGCGTGTTTATTCATAAAATCTTCATCCATCCGACATATATAGCGACTCTATATATTAGCTAACATATTAATTTTTCAAATATATTTTTAATTGACTTCTTTAAAATCCTAAACTCTCCCTTGTACTGTAAGAGATATCAATGCCACGAAAGAGATACAACCACGACTAAGAAGGTGGAAAAGAAGATGGTGAATTTCACGGTTGAAATAAACTAATTTATACAATGATAATTTTAACCTTTAACCTTTATTTTTAACCTAATATCAATTACTTAATTTTGACACGATAGACCTATTTTTCCACATGGTAGAGATTTTTAAAATAGGAGAGAGTGCAAACACATCATCATAAATTAATTGAAGTGTATTTTGCTAACTATTAGATGATAGTTCAGGTAGGCAACTCACACTTTGAATAGTACAAGTAGAACACTCAATAATATGAGATTATTTAAATGTGTTTTGACCCTTAACACTAAAATAAAAATAAAATAGGATCATCATAACATAAATAAGATTTTTTTATCATTACATAACAATAGATTTAATTATTTGACACAATAAATTTAAATAACAAATGATGTGATGCACTGAATGAGATTGCTCCTTCCTTATTCAGAGATCTCAATTTCAAACTCCAAATATGAAAAAAAAACTTTAATAGGGAATATTACCTCTGAATAAACCCTACTCAGTATGAATTTAGATTAGTCAAGTTTCAATACTATTACCAAATAACAAATGGGAAACGAAAAGATATATACAATACAATATAATACTCCATCTATTTAAAAAAAAGAATGAGCACCTAATACGAAATATAAGAAAATAAAGAAGATTTTTTAATATTATTATCCTAAATTAAACTTATGTCAAATGTATAAAAATATCTTTTAATCTTATGATCTTTAATATGCCATGTGGAAAACTTGAATTAAAATATTCTCAAAAAATGAAAAAAAACATTTTTTAAAAAACAGTTTCGAAAGAAAAGTTGATCAATTTTTTTGAAACGGAGATAGTAAGTAACAAACCTCCAAACAACAAGTTAAAAAGAAAGAAATAGAGAAAAGAAGAATCTTGAAACTTCAGTTTACAAAATTTTCAACTTGGTGTATGAAGAGGATCCAATATCCTTGTCTTTGGTGGGGACATACACACACACACACTTCTCTTTTAAACTCACTAGTACTAATTTGTTTTTTCCTATGTCTCTTTATCCTCTCTTTGTCACTGTTTTAATGCTTTGCCTTTTTTCATCTAAACAAAAAGCCCCAAAAATAACAACTACAAAAAATACAACTTTTAAACAAGTGTGCTACTTTTTTTTTTCTTTACTCTCTCTCCAATGATCTTATCTCCATTTATTTCATGTTATAACTTATTTTTCTCTCTTTCTTTCATCTTCTTCAACATTTTTAGTAAAAATTAAGAATACCCACAAAGCAGAAAACAGTTTCTGTCATGTCACTTCTTATTCTCTGCTACAACTTTCTTGAAATTAAAAAAAAGGTACTCTATGCTTTTTTACCCCCTTTTTCTCTGTTTGTTAATGACAACATCTTGAGCTTTTCTTGAAATTTTATGGGTTGTTAGTATTTTTTGTGGTTGTTTATGTTATAATCATTGTTATGGTAATTACTAATAAATTCTACTTTACTTATATTAGTTATTGTTAGTTACTATGATTATGATTCTTGAATTGTTGTTGTGACCTTTGTAAATTTGGTGACTTTGGGTTCTTTTCTTGATCTACTATGAGTAGCTTGAATTTTGGTCTTGTGGTGTATTTGAGGTCTTAGTGGACTATGGTGTTTTGCAATTTTCATGTTGTAATTTGGATATATGATGTTAATTTAAGTTTTTCTTATTTATTATTATATATCAAGGGTAGGGGAAGGGGAAACGGAGGAGGGGATTATAAGGTGGTAATCGAACCCTGACTAATAAGGTGAATGTTCAGGTAGTCAACTAACGGAGCTAGCTATCAAGATTCTGTACTTTAAGTTGAAATTGTCTTATGGACAAAATTTCACTATAGGTGAAAATGAAGAAACTTGATTTTGTGTCTTTTTTCTTCTTTTTTGGTACTAATTTATGACCTATTTAAGGTGTAAATATGGATAGGGATAGATTCCACTAAAGGGAAGAGTGACAAACTTGGTTTCAACTTGAGGAACTGAACTAATTTATCGAAGTTTTCGTCTGTGAAAATTTGTGAAAGATGTTAAATTGTTCTTGAAATTTTGTAGTTCAAAGCATAGTAAGCTTGATGAGCTCATGATTACATGGAAAATAAATGTATTTTTCTACTGATTTTTTGGTTTGATGATGATTTATGTTAGGTGTTAAGATACCTCTAGTGAAATTGTGTGCCAAGTGGAACCAAGATTTGAACTTTATGAGTTCTAAGTTCTAAGATAGCAACATCAGGTGTTAGTAACTGTGTTCTGAATTTAATATTTGTACATGTTTAGTGAATTTCTTAATACAAATATAAGGGTTTGAACTTAAGGTACTGAGTTCGGCTTCTAGCTTGCCCGTGATTGTGTTCATTTGCTTCCTCGATGTTCCTGATGATGCCTTTTGTTTCCCAGGTTCTTCCAAAAAGTTGAATTTTGCTACAGTTCAAGAAGTTTTGGAGTTCTTCTGATTATTTGTCAAAGTGCAATAAAACTGAAACTCCGTAGGTATTGTATTTCTCATTTCAACCTTTAATTAACTAACCATTTTAGCACTATCTTGTTGAACTAAGCTTTTTCCTACACAATTTAACTGACCTTTGAGTCATTACTATGATAACAACCAGTCATAATTAAGCTTCAACATGAGCCTGGTGTTTGAGGTTGTAAGCAGGTAGATCTTTTCCCATATGTGAACAAATGATGTACTTTTATTTGATGCACTGGTACTGATTTGAGAATGTAGAATTCCTACTCGTTCGTGTGGTATCTATTTTACTGATCTGGGAATTTCAAAGCTGTTTCCATAGAGGTACTGAACTTGTCCTGTCCGATACTTCTCAAACGATGACCCTTGGTTATAATCTCTTTCTCCGTAATGTTATAAACCATTGGGGTTAATTGTACCTACAGAGCGGAAAGCAAATCAAAACCGATACTTCGATGTTATTCATTTTGGTTTCTGTGTGACTTGGTTTAGAATTCGAGGGAAATGATTAATGTGTAGCTTAATAAGTTGATATTCATCATTGGTCAATTGATCTTGAAAGTACTGTCTCAGCATGAAAGATTATTTTCTCTTGTTCGAAAAATCATGTACTTTGTTGTACATATGCAGGTGAATCAACTAACGAAGATCATCCATTGATTTAACACTCCCTGTTGTTTTACCGAAGTCTAAATCCGTACCCGACTTTTCTCCAAGCAACATGAAGCCTCCAAATTTCAATCTTGAATCAGAAGACGAGTCTGAGGTCAGCAACTGCCAAGTGGGTTCAAACATATCCGTCCAAGAAATTCATCCTGGTCCTTCCCTTAATCTTCAGCAGGAATCAGTTCCTGTTACTCTTGACTTGACTCTTGGCTTCAACAGAAGCGACTCCGAGTTGAAAGCCAATGGAGAGGTGAGTGACGAAGTAGTACCCCATCCTCCAACGGCAGCATTATCCAGAGTTTTCTCGTGCAATTTCTGCAGGCGCAAGTTTTACAGCTCCCAGGCGTTGGGCGGACACCAGAATGCACATAAGAGGGAGAGGACTTTAGCTAAGAGAGCAATGCGGATGGGAATGTTATCGGACAGGTACGCTAGCCTAGCATCATTGCCCCTTCACGGGGCCGCATTTCGATCTCTTGGCGTTGAAGCTCATGCTTCCGCACACCAACGCGTCTCGCACCAAGAAACGCCTATTCATGCAATTAGAAGCGGGGCGAGATTTGAACAAGGCTATTTCGGGATGCCAGTATTCGTGGAGGATGATGAAGTGGAGGTGTTCTGGCCCGGTAGCTTCAGGCAAATAGAGGGAATTGGTGGCAATATGGGGTATAATTCAGGGCAAAGTTCAAGCATAAATTTTGTAGCTGTAGCTCCTCAAACTAGGACAGATCCAACATTGCCTGATCTTAATTTGAAACTCTGATGGATTCTTTTTTTTTTTGCATTCTATTCTACTATTTGTATCAGAATTTCATAATTGTGGTATTACATTAGTGCTCTATTTGTACAGGAGGTGAATATTTGAGACTGTCTTGAGCTTTCAATTTTGAATCTTTTTCATTCCCAAATTCGTTTAGTTGACCACCTTATTGTACAATTATATGATATTATTACATAAGTACAGATTTGGGACAGTGGTGATGTTTTTTAGTTTATGCAAACCTTTAACTTCCTCCCATTTTAACCCTGTTTATAATTACTCGCTAGATTCACTTCAGAAAGTCTTACATTGGGAGTAAGATGTAAGTTTATAATTACTCGCTAGATTCACTTCAGAAACCTTTAACATACATTTCCTAACAAAGATGACTCTATATCCAGTAGGGCTCGAACGAGAGGCCTGGATCAAGGAGTACTACCACTCCACCACAATGCTTGTTGGTAGTACACCTTGTTTGTATAGAGTCATCCAACTGTCCATATTAATAGTGATAGTTGCCTTTTTCATGTTCTTAAAAAAAATGGGGACTGTTCTTCATCAGATTCAGGCCTAATGGGACGCATATTGATTCACAATTTGGCATTGAAACCTTCCAATTGAAAAACTAGAATCTTATAAGAGATTACAGACGAAATAAGATTCATAACTGACAAAAACAGAAAAGAAAACACACAACACATTGAATTAAAATATGTCCAGAACCAGCAATGAAAAAAACCAGTAACAAGTTTGTTTATTGGAAGCAGTAATCAGATGAAATCAGATGGAAGCGTCGCGTTGTTTCTTTCTTCATTGTTGTTCTATCCTTGAGTCCTTTGGGCATTCTGCAAATCATATATAGTATGATTTAAATTAAATGTATATATGTATGTAGGGGTAACGATATAAGAATTAATTACCTCTTCTTTCAGCTTCTTCTTCAGCCTCTTCTTCAGCTTCTTCTTCATATCTATATGGACTTGAGGTCTGTCCTCTCCTGTGAAAGCTTCTACTTGTTTCTTAATCTCAATGGCTGAATCTCCAAGCTCACGCTTATTATTATTTAAATGAATGGACTTTAAAGTGTGTATATCCATAAATGCACAAGGGATCTCCCTAAGCTTGTAACAATCTTCTAGTATTAATTCCTCAAGCTTGGGAAAGGTTTCCGTATCAACTTCCCATTCCGAATGGTTGACCACTCGCATAGACAAAGTCTTAAGACGTTGATAGATGTGCTCACTTGCATCCCACTTGTCCTCCACGAAATTACAGCTGACAAACTCCAGAATTTCAAGCTGAGGCAATGCCGCGATTGCTGACAACAAATCAGGTCTCAGGGAAAAACCAGACAACCGTAACTCTTTCAAGCTGTTAGGGAAGTAATATTCATTGGGTTGTCGGATTTTGTCAGGATAGCCGGAATTCTCATATATTGCAATGAGTGATTTAAGTTTATTAAGGACATCAAACTTGGGAAACCAATCGCAATGTGTAGGAGGATCTATCGGTTCCTTGATGTGGCAATGAAGGTGGTGAAGATTTGGGAACTTCTCCAGAACATCACTCGTGGCTTCAGTATATGAGATATCAACTTTAGATAAAGTTGTCAAGTCTTCTAACTTTGAATTCTCAGCTTCCAATATTCTACTTGGTTGATGCATAATATTGTCCACATCCATTACATCCTCTTCAAAGAAAGAACTCATGTCAATTTTCACATGTTTCAGCTTTGACAGTTTGAATATTCCGGGCAGTAATACCATGGTGGAATATCTAGTATTGATCAACAAAGTTTCCAGATTCTGGAGGTTCAACCACGACACTGGGATAGCTTTTACATCTCGAGTCCGAATCCTTAAGAACCTCAAATGAAATAGTGAGCCTATTTCTTCCATTAAAGAATCTTCCAGAATAATGCTATCCAGTTGCAACACTCTAGCAAGTCCAAAGGATCTTGTATGGCAGATATAGCTGGAGTTAAGAAGTGAACCGCTAACTTCCAAAGATATGAGATGCTTACTACCAGCTGAACACTTATTAAAATTGAACAAAACACATTTTTTATGGAGTTGACTGTCGTCAATATGAATGGTTAGACGATGATGTAGGAAATCCGAAGCATGAAATCGTGCACCTGGATTCATTAACTTGAAAAACTTTTCCTTTTTAGCTTTTTCTGAACAAAAATCGTGCACAACATCATGCACATAGCAAACCTTGATCCTAACAGAAAAAGGCATACTCTTCTTGGAGTGGGTTTGATCCACCATTATCAGGCTACTGGAAACTAAAGCATCCAAGTATCTTTGAGTTGCTTCCTCTAAACTACCCTTGGATGGGATATCATAATCCACAAACCCTTCGGCCATCCACAACTGCTTTAACTCAGAGACCGGAGTTCGTTTGTTCTTTTGAGATCTTGCGAAGTAAAGCAACAACGGCTTCAGGTGGCATGGTAAATGGTCATAACTTAATTGCATAACCTTCATCATCTGCAAATTGATGTTGGCAGAAATAAAGGAATCCAGATTATGTTGAATCTTAAGCCACAAATTCTTTTCCTTTTTCTTTCCTCTAACAATTACTCCAGCAATCAAAACAATAGCCAAGGGAAGTCCTTTACATTTCTTAACTATTTGGTGTCCAACATCTGACAGTTCAGCAGGGCAGCTTCCTTCTCCAAATACCCTTTTTTCGAATAGTTCCCAACTTTTTTCAAGTGTTAAAACTTGGAGGTCAATAGGATCAGTACGACATTTAACTTGCGAACCTACCTTACTAATTCGGCTAGTTAAAATAACTCTATCTCCTCTCTTAAGCTTTGGAAAACATGCTATTAACATCTCCCCTGTTGCAATATCCCACACATCATCCAAGACGATGAGGTACCTTTTATCGTACAATGCTCTTCTTAGCTTTTCAGCAAGGTCGTGATCCTCACTTTCTTTTTCTTCAGAGCTAGCAACTTGCTGAAGAATCTCCCGCAACACCTTTGACTTGTTATACTTTTGGGAAACAGTGCACCAAGCACGAATCTTGAAATGACTAGCAACTAATGTATTGTTATACACTTTGTTGGCCAGAGTAGTTTTACCGAGTCCTGGCATTCCGACAATTGAAATGACATCAAGCTCAGATTCATGTTGATTAAGGAGCTGGCCAATGATCTGGGATTCTTCTTTCTCATGACCTACTGTTACCTCAACAAAAGGTGATGAGGTTGACTCAATTGGCTCGACGAAAGACTTTGCATCAAGGGGGTGATCCCCATTGTTATCCTCCAGCTGTAAACTGGTGACTTCTGCCACGATAAGCTTGATCTTATCAGTGACACTCGGAAGTGAGAAGATGAGATGCGAGAGAGCATTATCTCTGACAAGAATGGAATTAATGACATGTTCTGCCTCATATGCCACATCTAAAGCACGCACCCAACAATCTTTAACTACTTGGCTAGTGTCATTCAATGTTTGCCTGACTTTCTCGAAAGATGATCTTATGAATTCAAGGCTTTGTTTCACCATCCCAATTTCTTTCTTTATGAGAGAAACTGAATAAGCATTGGAAATGAGCAAATCATTTAAATGTCTGAGTAGAAGATTCATGAAGAGGAAACCATCATCCATAGGAAAGCGAAGTTGAGATGACTCTGGAGCTTTCAAAAAAATCTGTCTAATATCTCGCTTCATTTGTTCAATTTCTTGCAACAAGTCTGAAGCTGAAAAGTCCGCTTCATTGATATTATACTCAGAGCTCTCCTCCAACAGAATAGATATCTTCCTTGTAAGTAGTCCAATATGTGCCAACATATCATTCAATTTGTCAAGATGGATATATCGCTTTGGTATATCAGTGAGAAAGATCAATAGGAACTCTATCATGACATTAATGCTTTGAGTTGGAGCGTAATTGACAGCTACTGCACCTGCCATGTGTCCTTGGATAAGAATGAGATAATTTTGAAGAATCCTTGGTGATGCTTTTCGGATTTGCTTAACAAACCGTTCTAGTTCAGTTGACCTTGATTCTTTCATGAGCTTAGAAGTAGAAATGTATAAAACCTCCAGCTCAAGAGGGATTATGTCGATGAGTAGAGAAGCAATCTTGGAAGAGCATTGAGAGACCTGGTAACCATCATAATATCGTTTATACTCTCCAGTCCAAAGATCAAAACAGAATTGGGTTACTCTATCAGCAGTCAATTGGAGCCAAGGGTAGAGATATTCAGTGTGTGCTTTGTTGGCCTTGAGGATAGGATAGAAATCTCTCAGATGTCGGAATACTTGCTGAAGAATCTTGAAGTCACTCATCAAGGGGAGAAGCAAATTAGCACTATAGTTTGGTAGATCATGAAGGTGTCTGAAGAGATATTGAAACATTTTCTCTTCAGTCGTCACGGCTACATAATAATCATTCTCCAAACTCAAAAAATAACTTTTCATCTCTTCCAGCAGCAGAGGGGCAAGACACTCCATGTCGCATTTCGCTAGGATTAATTTATCATCTTCATCTTGATAGAAAAGTGAGCAACTAAGTTCATCGAACTCATCTATTTTCTCGGACATTCTGTAATAAAAGTAATCCAAACTGGAATTCCCAAACAGAACAAATGTTCTTAGGAATCTCAACTCCATTCTTAGCTTTTCAATGTCATCCAATTTTGATGAAGCAATTATTTTTTCATTTTTTATTTTCTTCAAGCCATTTAAGAAATCATCAATATGACTGCTGATTCTTCTTCTTTCTTCCTCAAATGGAAGCTGCTAAATTAAAAACCAATAATTAGTCGGGAAAAACCAAGATTTTCAAAAAAATTTAAAAGGAACCACAGATGACTCTATGAAACAAGACAGCCAAGAGAAGGCTCTAATACCATGTCAATTTTCAGCTGAATGCCTCTCAAAGTGAGAGAGTCTTTCCATTATATAGAGAAAATAAAGATTACACATCCCTAAAGATCCGCCATTCCTATCCCTAAAGATTAGCTATTCTACCTATACAAATCTGCCATTGAATCCCTCTAAATCTGCCTTGCTATCCCTCCAAATCAGCTATTCTATCACAATATTTATTCATGTGATTCTACAACAAATGTATATGATCATGCTAATTTATATCACTATATAATTACATTAATATATACAATCATTTAGTTGTCTATCATGCTAACATCTCCCCTCAAATTGATGCTGGTGGATCAAGAAGCATCAATTTGCCTACTAGAAACTGATGGCGTTGCCGTGCCATGGATTTTGTAAATGCACCAGCTATTTGAAGATCACTGGACACATGTGGAAGAGTAATGACTCCTTTATCTACAGCTTCTCGTATATAATGACAATCCACTTCGATGTGTTTGGTCCTCTCATGAAAAACTGGATTAGTAGCAATCTGAATAGCACTTGTATTGTCAGCGTGGAGAGGAGTAGGATGAGATTGGGGAAATCCAATCTCAGCAAGTAATCCACGAAGCCATACAACCTCGGAGCAAGCAGTAGACATGGATCGATATTCAGCCTCTGTTGAAGATTTTGACACACGATCTTGCTTTTTACTCTTCCAAGATATCAATGACTCTCCAAGAAATATACACCAAGCAGAGACTGAACGACGAGTATCAGGACATCCCGCCCAATCAGAATCACTAAAAGCATTAAGACGAATAGAGGAACCACTTGGAAAGAACAATCCACGAGTAGATGTTCCTAGAAGGTACCGAATGATGCGACGAACAGCCACCAAGTGGAGATGACGGGGAGCTTGCATAAATTGACTAACTTGTTGAACTGCAAAAGAGATATCAGGCCGAGTAATAGTAAGGTAATTTAGACTCCCAACTAATTGTCGAAATATAGTTGGTCAGGAAGATCGCCTTCCTCACCACGATACTTGACATTCATTTCCAGTGGAGTATTTGCGGAGGAGGAAACTTGAAGACCAGCCAAAGAAATCAGATCCTGAGTATATTTGTGTTGGTTTAGAAATACACCTGAAGTAACATTATGAACTTCCAAACCCAAAAAATAAGTAAGAGTACCAAGATCTTTCATATGAAAAGAATCTTTAAGCTGCTGTTGGAGGCAAGTGATTAGTGAAGAATCAGTTCCTGTGATAATAATTTCATCTACATACACCAAAAGAAGAACACAACCTGTAGATGTTTTTCGAAGAAACAAAGATGAGTCATTTGTTCTGCTCAAAAGAAAATTGTAGCAAAGTAGACTGGAACTTATCAAACCAAGCTCTTGGAGCTTGTTTTGATCCATACAAAGACCGCTTCAACTTGCATACATCTGATGTAGGCGATGAGAACAAACCAGGTGGAGGTTTCATATGAATATCTTCTTTAAGATCACCATGGAGAAAAACATTTTTGACATCTATTTGATAAAGAGACCAGTTTTGTGAAGCAACAATGGCAATAATAGTTCGTACCGTAGACATTTTGGCTACCGGTGCAAAAGTCTCCTCATAGTCCACCCCATACTCTTGTCTGTTACCAAGAACAACCAATCAAGCTCAGTACCGATCAAGAGTTCCATCAGAATGAAGTTTGATTGAATAAACCCACTTACATCCAATAGGGCGGACATTTGAAGGACATGAAACAATGTCCCATGTGCCATTTTCTTTAAGAGCCAAAAGTTCTTCCTCCATTGCTTTCTGCCAACATTCATGCTTGGAAGCTTGTGAGTAACAAGATGGAACAAATATGTTGGATAAAGTAGAGGAAAAGCCATACCAATTGGGACTACGAGATACTCTTGTAGATCGCTGAGTAGGCATAACTTCATATGATCCACCATTTTTTTTCTCGCCTCCTAAGGTAGCAATTTATTTATCAAGAACCCAACACAAAGAAAGGAAAGATCAAAATCTTCATTGTGCGAAGAATCCACATAATTGTTGAGTTTATACTTAACTAGTATACGTGCCCGCGTGTTGCACGGATATTTTTAAAATGTAATAGTATTTTTAATTAAAAATAACTAATAAAATTTATCATGCACTTAGTAATGTATATTTTAAATCTTGGGGAAAATACATAAAAAAAAACCCATGAACTTGGCACGAAAACATGGATCATAACAAATAAAACCTTTTTGTGAAGTACTATAACTCATAAAAGCACATTTAGTAGATTGTATAGAAAATTTATTGCGTTGCGAAGGAGGCAAATGCACAAAACAAACACAACCAAATGTATGAAAATCACTATAGTTAAGATTTTGGTGATAAAGACGAAAATATGGAGACTCAAGATTTAGCACTTTAGATGGCAATCTATTAATTAAATAGACAACAGTAGACAAAGCTTCCACCCAATATTTAGATGGTACAGATGACTCAATCAATAAAGTACGAGTGACATCTAAAAGATGCCGATTTTTCGTTCAGCAACTCCATTTTGTTGTGGTGTATATGGGCAAGAGTGTTGTGAGACAATCCCTTTGTCAAGCAAGAATTTTTGAATTCATAAGACATATTCTCCACCAGAATTAGATCTTAATAATTTGATGCATGTAGAAAATTGAGTCTCAATGTAAGCCAAACATGTCTTAAACATGGAAAATACCTCAGATTTGGATCGAAGAAAATACACCCATGTAAACCGACTATAATCATCTATGAATGTCACAAAGTATTTGAAATGAGCATGAGAAATAATTGGTGAAATGCCCCAAACATCACTATGAATGACATCAAAACACTTTGTAGCACGACTACCAAAATTAGGAAAAGGAAGAGTTTTACTTTTGCCTAATTTACAAGTAGAACAATCAATGGAAGCAACTGAAAATTTATTTTTATTTCCCAATAAACCAGAATTTGATAAGTGAGACAACACAACAGAATTTGGATGTCCTAGACGCTTATGCCAAACCTCAGTTTTACTAGCAGTAGAAGTACAAGAAAAAGATAGAACATGAGAAATGAAAAAGTGTATAGGAAACAATCGTCCAACTTTAGGCCCCTTCGCGATTATCGTCCCCGACACCTGATCCTGCACAAGACAACCATTACGAGAAAAATTCACATCACAATTGTTATCTACCAATTGTCCAACTGAAATAAGACTAGTTGAGAGCTTTGGTGAAACAAAAACATTCTTGAAAGTTGGAGTAATGTCCCCAACCTTGGTAATGGGTAAATTACTACCATTGGCAATCTGTATTTGTGATGGACCTTGATACTTACGAACATTTTTTAGGATGCTCGTTGAGTTGGTCATATGATTGGAAGCGCCTGAATCAACAATCCAAAAATTAGATGTAACATCATTACCTTGTAATCCCAATGCTGAAAAGGCTGACACGATCATTTGTTGTACCATTTCAGGAGTAAGAACTTGTCCTGAAGATGAGTTATCATCAGTGGAACCATTTATCCTAGCTTGAAAAGCATTGATCCTACGATTTTGAGGGCGCGTGGGACACTCTTTGATAATGTGTCCTTGTTGTTTACAATAATTACAGAACTTCTTGCTACAATTGCTAGCAATATGACCATATTCCTTGCAACTGTAGCATTGAGTTCTACTCATATCCCTGCCCTTTCCTTTACCTTGAGCAGCAAATGCAACAGTGACATCATTTTCTTTCTTAAAAGCATTTTGTGTGACAAGACGTTGCTCTTCACGAAGTAATTCCCTAAAGCAAACATCCAAAGAGGGAGACGGGTCACGATTCATCAAGTTAGAGCGAACACTCTCAAAGTCGGAGCGTAATTTCATCAAAAATTGGTCTCGCTTGCTTTGCTCATGAACTTCTTGAATCACTGATAGGGATTCAGTAGGTATTTTGGCATAGACAATATCTGTAAATTCAGCCCATAAGTTTTGAAATCCAGAAAAATAATCCTGAACAGAAAGACCTCCTTGAGAGTAATTAGCAATTTCATACTCCAACTGAAAGCGTCTTGCGCTATTATCTTGGTTGTAAACCTTTTGTAAGTAATCCCACATGGCCTTAGCTGTCTTGTACGACTTGAGATTAAGAACAAGAAGAGGGTCAATTGACCCTAGAATCCATGTCATTACCCGAGCATCTTTAATCTTCCATTCACTTAGCTTTGTTGCATCAGTAGGAGCAGGATCGCTTCCATCTATATGGTCCCATAGTTCTTTGCCGGTGACAAACAACTGAAATTGAAACTCCCAAGAAGAATAATTTTTTCCAGTGAAATGAACACTGAAGGATTCAAAGTGATGTGAATTCATGCTTTTGAATAGCTATAAAACTACAAAGACTCAAGAAAGCAACTAGAATGACCAAGAACAAAATTCCCAGGAGGTAGCCAAAAACCAAGATTTTCAAAAATTTTTTAAAAGGAACCACAAATGACTCTATGAAACAAGACAGCCGAGAGAAGGCTCTAATACCATGTCAATTTTTAGCTGAATGCCTCTCAAAGTGAGAGAGTCTTTCCATTATATAGAGAAAATAAAGATTACACATCCCTAAAGATCAGCTATTCTATCTATACAAATCTGCCATTGAATCCCTCTAAATCTGCGTTGCTATCCCTCCAAATCAGCTATTCTATCACAATATTTATTCATGTGATTCTACAACAAATGTATATGATCATGCTAATTTATATCACTATATAATTACATTAATATATACAATCATTTAGTTGTCTATCATGCTAACAATATATTAGTGATAGATTTTGTTATTTAGTTACACAAGTGTAGTAAGTAGTTTTTTGATGTGATGTAATATAAAGTTTAGAGATGTAAGATTCTTTGTAGTGAATTTTAACATTTTTTTTTGATATTAAACTTTTTTAGTAGCTTTTACAGATAATTTATTACTTATGAGAATGGGTGATATAGTTTTTAAATTAAATAATGAATTTTTTTTATTGGTAATAATACTACCTCTGTAGACTGTTATTTGTCATGCGCTTTTCGAAAGTCAATTTGACTAATTTTAAAAATTAAATTAGATTAATTAATTCAATATTTTAAACAAAAATTTAGATATTCAAAAAATATACTAAAAGTACTATAAATTGCAATTTTTTGCATATCAATATGATAAAAAATACATCATAAAATGTTAGCCAAAATTCTTATAATTTGATTCTAAAAAGAAAACAATGACAATTAAAAATGAATAGAGGGAATAGAAAATAAAAAAGGGTAAAGTGCCCAATTAATTAAATAAATAAAAAGGAAAGGAAAAAGGGCAACTGCCCAATAGACAAAAGAAAATAAAAAGAAGAGTTGAAACACGTGAAACGTCAAACAACATAAACGAAAAAAAAAAACAACAGTTCAACAAACGCAGTAGAAGAAAAGAAAAGAAAGAGAAAATAAGAGGAGAAAATAAAAGAGAAAAAGTGGATTTTTTATCTCAAAGTGATTCTTGTTCTTTTCACAAAATTTTTATGTGATTATGAACAGATTTTTAGGATAGAAAGTGTAGAATTTATGCCTAATTGAGAAAAATATAATTCTAGGGTTTTTAGAACAAAATCTTGATTTGAGGGTCAAATAACTATCGTCGAATAACTATTCGTTTTAACTAAAATTTATCATGCGAGTTTATTTTATTATGAGTGAAAATAATCCAAAAGAAAATTTCAGATTTGAATTCGAAGGCTCGGGGTGACTTTTTTCACCCGATTTTGAGCCAAAAAAATAAATATAATAGTATGGGTGTCATTCGATTCGTATTCTTATGAGAATTATATATCTAAACAGATTTTGACCATTCAAAAGCATTACAAAAGGACGAATTGGTAATTTAACTTTTGAACTTCGGTTTGAGGCAAGTAGAAATTCCTTCCTTTCTTTGGAGTGTTAGTTTTATGAAATATATAAATATAATGATAACGAATAATAAGAGGGTCCCGTATAAATGTGTAACAACCCGAACCGTTGTTATTTAGGAGAAAAAAAAATCCAGAAAAATCTGGGCCATTGTACCGCCATAGCGGGCCAGATGCCGCTAGGGCGGGATAAGCGAGGCAGAGCGTAAATTACGCGAAATACTATTTTCCTCCTTCCTAAAATACCTAAATAAGTCATAATACACCTTAGAAACCCCCAAAAAGCTGCTGCAAGCTTGGGAAGAAGGGAGAGAGAGATTTCTAGCGTGAGGATGGTGATATCTTGCAGATTCTTGGCCAAAATCACCGTCACGAATCCCAAAAAACAAGAATCGAAGTCAATAACTCCGTACAACTGCTTGGCGCCTAGGTAAGCTAGGTTTTATGAATTAAGTAGTTTAAATCTATGGTTACTGCGTAATATATGTGAATCAATGGTAGAATTTATGCGTAGGCCTTCGTGCACCGAATGATTATTGATTTAAACCCTAGAAAGAAGTCTTAGACGATGAATCAAGACTGAGAATGGTCGAATTAGGGTTACATGAGGTGTGTTGATCAATAATCCGTTGTGAGGGTGGTGATTCCATGATTTAGTGATGTATGCTGTTCTTGCTTCATTGTGAAAGAACAATGAGTCATGAATTGATTTACATGATTATGAGGATATACTTGTGATTGTGATTATGATATGTTGACTGGATCGGTTGCCACGTTCCGGCATAATTAACTGGGATCGATTGCCACGTTTCGGCATAACTTACTGGGATCGGTTGCCTCATTCCGGCATAACTAACTGGATCGGTTGCCACGTTCCAGCATAACTATAGGATCAGTTGCCACGTTTCGGTATGCTAACTGTTTAGGTTTGGGTTCCATGAGAGGACCAATGATGTGGCAAAATAGTGTATCTTGAGAAATGTGAAGTTGTTCGTAAGTGTCGTTGATATTGCATATATTTGATATGCATATGTGAGTATGTTGTTGTATTGACTTATATATGTTGCATTCAGTAGGTACATGTTACGACGACTTAGATTTGATGGTTCTTGTGTTGAGCGAGCTGTTTGGGTATAGTGGAAGGGCAAGGTGTCCAAGGGGCGAATAATGGATAACAAGGGTTGTTCGTGTGTTGTAATGGTGAGAAGTAGAGGCAGAGTATGTGATGAAATATGCTTAGGTGGATTTCACCTTGGGGAAAGAGATTGGGTTTAGTGGTAAGAAAGCTTGATATAATGTACTATATGACCATGGTTCGGTAATGTGACGAGGAAGTAAGGGTATGACATGAGAGGTTAGTTGAAATACAACGTGGTGGTTTTTGGGGGAACACTTAATGTGTTAGAATGGTTAGGCCATGATCAAGTAACCGGTAAGTTGGTTGAGAAGGTAGTTAGTAGTCAGAGTACTAGTGAAATTTGGAGGTACTTCAAGAAAAGGGTAGAGGTGGAGAAGCGAGTGGTTTATGTCATGATCTTATTAGTTGGTCCCTTATGTTATGTGGTGGGCGTCGGGTTGACCGATGATGCCTACCAATACGTGTGTTTTGTACTGATACTACTCTCGCTATGTCTTTTGACATAGTCTGGATGCAGGTTGGTGACGTTTCCTTAGGTGAAGACGAAGAAATTCTCCAGCAGCATCTGTTTTCGTTCCGCATGGTGGGAACTGTGTCTTTTGTTTATCTTGTCTAGATGTACTAGCTCTTGTAACTGTTTAGACTAGATCATTGGGAGTTGTTAATAACTTTACAAGTTTAATCAAAAAGAGTGCCTAAAGTTATTGTACAAAAAATCATATTATTATATTTATTTCTGTTTTCTTTTAACTTTCCACATGTTTAACTATTGGGATATGTTCTCCTACTTAGGTGTTAGAGTGGGTGTCCGCACGGCCCGGTGGGTTGGATTGTGACAAAATGAGATAACGAACATTTATGCAGGTACGGATGTTATAATATGGGAAAATTTACATTAATTGTTATTTAATTGTTATGTTGAGGTGATTTATTTTATGATGTAGTTATACTTTTACTCTTTTAGAAAAAGAAACTTTTAGAACATACCTCGTTGTTGCTTCTTAGAAGAGTTAGTAATCAAAACTTGTTGAATACACGTATTTTCCGTACGGATCACTCTATACTTGTTACACCTTTTTTCAAGCAGGAACTGAGTCAGGTACTAGCGGTATTTGATTTGTTACTGCGACTGAGATTGATGGTTGTTGAAATTTAGGGTGAATTGATTTCTCTTCTCTTTGTCTTATTTCCTTCTAAACAAATGCATTTGTTTTCATGTTTGTTTCGTATTAGTAGATGTCATTGTACTAGTGCCACCATGTCTAGGAATATTTTATTTTAACTTATCTATACAAATTTTGCATTGTTAAATGATTAATAGAGGGATCAGGTTTGCCTACGGGGATGGTAGGTGCCCTCACGGATTAATGAAATTTTGGATTGTGACAACATGGTATCAAAGCACGGTTCATAGGTCCCATTAAGTACAAGAGCAGAGTCTAGTAGAGTCTTGCGGATCAGTGCGTAGATCTCCATTACTTATCTTCGAGAGTCTATAGGACTTTAGGAAACTTTTATTCCTTATCGTGCATATGTGGTTCACTTTAATATCTAAATTCTTTGTTTTATTCTCTCACCCATTGTGAGGATACGTATATGAGAGATGATGTTACATGGTGTGGTGCGAGGTGTTATGATTTGGTTAGCAGAATGACCAAATAATAGGAATTGCGATATTGAGGATGTTAGCATAGTATGGATGGTTCGTTTGAGGTGTAACAATGATGTTTTAATTTTTCCAATTTATTGGGACAATCTTATGACACAATAGTATCAATGATAAGTTGACAATTCAATATTGGAATGATATAATATGGATGATATGAATAAAAATGTAATCTTGGGAGGATCAATTGATTAGATAAGAAAATAGTGATCATGATCAAACTAAAATGAGAAGTTCAGGAATAGCAAAAATATGAGAGGTGATAATTTATAATGAAGTTAAGATGGTAGGACTTGTTATAAGATAGGTATGAAAGACTTTCTTACCTTTTGAGTGAAGGTATACTAAGAAGAATTCAAATAGTTCGAGTTGGATAACACGATAATCACAATGATAAAGTTTCTTATGATGGGAGCCACTATACATAGACTAAATATAATATTGTATGAGATTATGAAGCTAGTTGAGTGTCAACCAACAAGGACACTTTAAGTGGTGATTAAATGATAGATACTGACATATTTACCTGTGAGATGTCTTTCCGAAGTTGAATTGAGAATCAACAATATTAGTTGAAACTAATGAAAAACATGATTTGATTTTGGACAAAGATACGTGTACAAAACTATATGAGATTGTTCATAGAGACGTGTATAGTGGTAAAAGACCGGCCTACAATTCATGGACTAATATTGTGGTGGTTGGAAATATTATATCGACAAATAACTAACTCTATTGAAGTAATCAAGGTTTTTCCAAGTATTGTTTAGTATGCTCTTGATCTTTTGTAGTTTTATTTTGGTCATTGATCTATACTTCTTTTTATGTATCATTTTTTGAATTTGGATATATTTTGTGACTCTCCTTCTATTTTTGTACGTATCTCGACACCCTTAGATGATTCTTAGTGGTGGATTGATTACATCGATTTCAAGTTATTGATTTGGTAGAACAAGACATTTGGATAGACTTCATTACTTTGAATATGATAGACTTCGACATCATGTTGAATATGGATTGAATTTTTTCCGTGTCATGCATTCAGACTGTTATGTCAAGACAAAGATCTCAGTTTTGTTGGGTATTCCTAAATTGAAGTTACATGACACTCTAAGTATCTATCTAAGGAAATATAGTATCATCTTCAAAGGCTTGATGTATATGGTTCTGAGACATGGTTGTGACAAGTGTTATGTGAATTGAGGGAGAATAAGGAATTAAAGATGATGTACCATTTTGAGGGGCGTGTCATGCACTACGATAAATATTATAATTTGAGGGACATGTCATACGTTGTGATAATTTCTATTATCGAGAGACGTGTCGCATGTCGCGACAGATGTATAGACAAATATGTTCCCCATGGGTCCAGACTGAGAGACAACATGTATGTATCATTAGATCAGACATGTATCACCATATTTGGCATTGCATCTCATTGTATTGCATATCTTTATCATTGTGAACTTGTGAGCGCTTTTCTATGGAACTTGTAATTGATAAACTTTATCATGTGTATTGTTGATCTGAAATTGTCGGAGTATTATCATTAAGCTATGAGCTATGTAGATTATGAAATGTTAGGTTGAGCTGATTTTAGGCAGGTTGTAGTTGTGGATGTTTGGTTGGAGTGTAAGGAGTAACCGTATTCTATATTTTTAGATTTGTGTTTAGCAGTTTGCTTGATGAGTATCGTGTGGTTTGATACTCACCCTTTGCTTCTATATTTGTGTAGGTTACAAGCCCGGATCTTCGTGATACTCTCTACCCTGTTTTTGTCCAATACTTTCTGTGGAGATTTGTGAGGTAGTTGTTTGTCATCTCAACAAACTTTCTTACTCCTATTTTTGATTTTATTCTGGTTTAGAGACAATATCATTTGAAGCTTTTGTTTTCTTTCAAATCTATTATAATACATTAGAGACTTGTGCACGTGACAACCAAGTTTTGAAAATTTAGTTATGTTGACGTGTTATCCTTATTATTATTTGTCATTAAACTTTTATTTATACGTTATTTCCTCACTTTATCGTAATGGTTGAGTTTTAGGCTGACTTGTCTTTAGTGGGATAAGACGAGTGTCATTATATTCATCTTTGGATGGTCGCATTCTAATTCAACACACAAAATATGATATATATTTTGTTAATTAAAGTGAATGAACATGAAAATAACAATTTATCTATCGTGCACAAGATTAATAAATATAGGCATGATCGAGCGCATATTGTCAAGTGTCAACGTGACGGAAGTAGATCATATTTTTTATACTTGTATGAAGTTCGTAGAATTAGATAGTTTAATTCCTTATGATTAGGTTCATCTTAATTAGATGATTTTAAAAAAAATATAACTATTTTAATTGTTGAGTTTAAATTTATTTACATTTTGCCGACAAACCTTTTCAAGAGTCAATGGTCACAAATATTTTAATGGATATTGTTAGCTTTGCTTTTACTATTTTTGACCTTTTTGTTAAGTGTAAGTTTTAAAATGAATCTCAACCATAAATTATTTTATGATCCCCATGACATTAATCTAAGAGGTAATTAAATATTACTTGAGGGAATAGTAGTACTTGACCGAATCTTTTTCCCGCAAAATGACTATATATGCCTCTATATATTCGAATAGGCGTTAGCATTGCCATGTAAAATATACCAATAGTATTGTTACAAAAATAGGGAAAAGGCATCAATTCCTCCTTGAACTTGTTCCGAAAAGTCAGTTACACGCTTAAACTATCATAGTGACCTATTACACACTTATACTACTCAAAAGTAAATTTTCTTACCCTCTAAAACTGACGTGACAAAAAAATAAAACAAAAAATAGGTGCGTCAATTTGAAATTAAAGTTTATCTAGAAAAGTTTCGGTTGATTGTTTCTATCTTTGTCATTTATTTGACTTTGTTAAAGAAATTTTTGTTGTTGATCAATTTTTGAGTTTAGTGGTGATAGCAACTTTATGGGTTTGGTGGTGATAGGTGGTGGGTGACAAAAATTAAAGAGGTAATTGAAGATGGTGATGAAGAAAAAATCGATATTAATAATGGTGGTGGTGATATTTGGTGTTGGGTGACAAAGAAGAAGAAGAATTGAAAGTGATATAGTGGTGGTGAAGAACAAAATCAATAGTGAAGGTGGTCGGATATGATTTTTCTGATGAAATGAGAATTGAAATGGGTGGGATTTAGTGATGAAGAAGATGTAATTATTAGAGAATTAAAGTAATTAATTAGGGATTAATTAGAGTAAAATATAGTTAACAAAAGAAAAGTTAATTAATAAAGAAAAGAAAAGAAAAAATTATAATTTATGACATGATGCTGATGTAGTGCTGATGTGGTAGCGAGTGTAATACACCATATAATGTGAGAGTGGTATTACACGTCTAATGGTGGTAATAAATTCACTTTTGAGTATTAAAGGTGTGTAATAGGTCACTGTAATAGATTAAGCGTGTAACTGACTTTTCGAAACAAGTTCAGGGAGAAATCTATGCCTTTTCCCTACAAAAATATGTAAAACTAGTAATTGCTAGAAAGGTAACCAGCTTAATCACTATTCCTTCCATTCCTTTTTAGTTGTCATAGTTTTCTTTTTAAGACTTAAACGATATAGATTTTGACTAATATTTTAAGATGTATTTTTTTTTATCATATTGATATTTTAAAAAATTGCAATTTATAGTATTTTTCGGCATAGTTTTTGAATATCTAAAATTTTATTTTAAATATTGAATGAATATAATCTAATTTAGCTATGAAAATTAGTCAAATTAACTCTCGAAAAGCATAACATGACAAAAATAATAATGAAGAAAGTATTAATTTGGAGCATGTAAAAGTATTAGTAGACATACCGATGACCTTCCTTTTTCCATTTAATCTATAACCTCGAACCAGCCTTCAATTTCTAGAGATTTGATGTTCCAACTAATCACATGCACATTTAATAAGGATAAAAATTAGAAATACAAGTAAAAAGAACGGCAACAAGAATGATATATATGTAAATAATAATTCTGAATAAATACATGATATTTCTATAGAGAAAATGTTCTCTAATATTTATGACCAACCAAAATGAAAAAAATGGAAAACAGTTTAGAGAGGGAAGAGAAGAGGGTCGGATACTAATTTTGATGCTAGGAAATAAATTCTTTCAACTACTATATATTGATGCTTAATTATGGACAATTGCGCTCTGTCGGTGAAAATCTCCTACTTCACAGCGGGAGATTGTATCAGTAAGAAAGTAGACTCACTATATCCATTATACTCTTACTAAAGTACATTTGATCTTTCTTTGTCTCGAACCCCATACCCCTATAATAATGGTAAAGTCAGGGATAGCCCCAAAGTGGAATTGACCGGTAGTACTTGGTTGAAGCTCCAGTAGGTAGCCCACTTGCTAGGATGATAAACATGCTCTCGGCTTCAACCTTAAGATTGTAAGCAAAAATGATAGAAACTCCTACAGATTATTCTATATATCCAACATATACCTTCTATAATTATCAAGTCAAAAATATAAACCATTTTGCTGTTTCTTATGTATGTATGTAATCCACAAATAAAAACAAAAAAGGGAATATTACTCTCTCTGCCTTTGAATTCAAATATCACATGTAAAAAAATGAAATAGAAAGAAAAAATAGTTTACCTTTTTCTTTACTTCCAAGCTGTTAAAACCATGAAAATTAACAAGGAAATGATGAATGTGATATATTCTGAGAGAGCTCACAATAAAACTTAAATGCTAATTAAGGCTACCTTGAATCTATATAGCCATACAAACAGAGAAAAAAGACAAAAGGTTAAGTTGGTCAATAGCTCACATACCATGTTCTTACAATTTTATATTTATATTAAAAAAATTAAATAGTCAACTATTTTTCTATTCAGTTTAAGTGATAATAAGAATTAATTTCTTCAAAAACCAAACTTACTAATAGTTAGTTCTATCAAGAATATTTTAATAATCTCTCCTTTTTATGGGTTTTTCACCCGGTGTTCGGAGTCCACATTGGAGCATTGCGCACTGCAAGGGCCCATTTGGGGGTGACGCTCCCAACTGAATTTTCTCTATTTCGATAAAATTGGAACGATACAGAGAAGATTAGCATGGCCCCTATGCAAGGATGACACACATAAATCGAGAAATGGTTCAAATTTTTAAAGGGGGTTCTCAGGTTTGGAAACACATGTTGGAGAATAGAAAAGATTTAGAACATCACTTATGGTGGGAACCTAGAGGGGGTACTTCTAATATTTGGTATGACAACTGGACCAATCTTGGTCCTTTATACTTGCACCAGTCTAATGTGCATACTTGTCATCCTATGAGAGACGTTGGAGAATCTTAACAGAAGAGGGTTGGGATTTTGATGCTTTACCTGAGTTTGTTGTGGATCATATCAAGCTTAACATGTTTTTTGTGCAGCCAAGTGATCAGGGTGATAAACCTTGGTGGACTAAGTCGAGTACAGGCCACACGGAATTAAGTTTAGTGTTAAAAGTGCTTGAGAGTTGTTGAGACAAAAAGCTGAGAAGAATGAGGACTTGAAACTATTATGGATTAAAGGATTTCCATTCAAATTATCCTTTCTAGCTAGGAGAATTTGGAATGGTAAAGTTCCAGTAGCAAGTTTAATGCACTTTTGGAATCCTACCATATCTCAGAATTGCAGGTGTTGTTCTATTCCAGTAGAGGAGACTATAGAACATCTTTTTCTAACAGGTGAGGTTGCTGCCAGAATTTGGAATCATTATTTCAGAGTTGCTGGTCTCCTAGGACCTATGCTTAATTTGAAACAGACTATGAGAAGGTGGTGGTCTTCAGAAGGTATCTATAGAATTCAAGTGATTTTTCAAGTTGTGCCCATTATCATTTTGTGGTGCCTGTGGAAGAGAAGAAACACTATTTTACATGGTGGGTCATTCTCAGAAAGTAAGGTTATTTGGGAGATTAATGACATTATTATGAAGGTGATTAAAATCAGATTCAAAAGAGATTTTGGAAGAAACAATTGGCCGGATATAATTACCGAGTTACAAAGGCACAATAATTCCTATAGCATTAATATTGTGAGATGGATTCCTCCCCCTATTAATTGGGTGAAATGTAATACTGATGGAGCATCTAGGGGTAATCCCAGACCTAGATCTGCAGCCTTCTGTATTAGAGATTACTCTGGTTCATTGTTGTGGCTAAGGATTTCAAAATACATAATACCTCTAATTTGGTAGCTGAAGCAAGGGATATTAGAGAAGGATTGTTTTTTTTGTAAGGAGCATCTGTTATCACATGTCATTATTGAAACAGATTCTATGGCCATGGTACAAATTTTGGAAGGAGGGTGGAATGTCCCTTGGCGTATGACTTTGGAGGTCAATTCCATAAACTACTTGAGAAGATCCTTATCAGCACGTGTACAACACACCTTTAGAGAAGGAAATACTCTTGCGGATTATTTTGCTAACCTAGTTTTTGATTTTGCAGGTGATTATCACTTTAGCCATTTTCAAGACATTCCTATGGAAGGACGAAGAATCCTAAACTTGGATAAAAGTGGAACTCCTCACATAAGAAGGAGACAAACGAATTGAATCTATACAACTTCTATATGTAGGTTCAATAAAATACAATTCAGTGCAGGAAGGTCCAACATAAGGTCTATCAATTTCAATTTCAAGTTAGAAAAGCAGGATCAGAATTAGACAAGCAGGGAAGTCTAGCGTATCATCATATTTTGCCAATATCCTTGTAATTCGAGTTAATAATGAGCACAATGTATTTGAACAAGAGAATAGTTACCATTATGCTCATGATGTTGGAAATATGTTCGATTGGTAAGTTTATCATGCACCTGGTGAGAGCTTGAGGTGTTGAAATGGTATGGTGCCAAGACACATGAGTTACTGGTAGAATTTGTTCTTGTCTAAATACTTAGTGTGCATTCACGTTTCATCTGTCAATTTTAGAATAAGTAAGGTTACAATTTTTGTCTTTTAAGATGGTGGTATTAACCCAAATGGGTTCAACCCATTAAAGGCGAGAATTAAAAACTTAATTTGTTCTAAAGATGAGAGGAATACCTTGATGATTCAAGTGGTTTCATTTGAAGTTGCTAATCGAGCTGCACATCTCCAAGCTAAGCTGATTAGGAACCAGAAGTTAGGGGGATTTATGTGGCATAGTCATTATCAAGATTAAGAACTGATAGATGCGGCAAGTGAAGGAGATGATAGCATAGAAGAATTACCTGGTAGGTGTGGCGAAGTGAAGGAGATACAACAGACGAGAGTTGCTGAACGATTCGTACATCTCAGAAATTTGCTCCTGGTGTTTTTTCTCTTGTTTGAGGGGGAAAAGCACACACTCACAATAGAAGAAGGATCAGAAATTGGGGTCTCTCCAGTGATGGTTCCCCAGCTACCTTGAGCTTTGATAGACACATCAATGGCTGATCGGACGTATTGAGATGGTGTTCGTGAACTTTCTACTTCTCAGCTGCAATTTTGTGTCTTTTCAGCTGAACCTTCCATTTTGTTTTTAATAGTTCCAAGTTTTGAGTTTCTGGACCGGGTCATTTTTGGATCCACTCATGTATATACTTTCCCTTATTTATTACTAAAATATATATAAAAATAAAATGGGCCAGGAGCCCTCCTTTAATTTTTTTTTTTTAAAAAAGTCCCATATTCCTAAAAATCTCTCGATTATTAGTCAACTAAACAGACAATGGATCGGATCTGCCAATTAAATAAAGGACCCATATGGTAATAATTTTTTTATTTTTATTTTGAAATAACTTTTTATTTATTTATTTAAATGTGAAGTGTAAATCTACGATGAAATGCCTCCTAAATTAACCCGGAAATGTCAACTGACAAATGCTTATTCTGTTACTCCATGTCCCTAATTACTTGTCCACTTTGAATTGTCACACATATTAAGAAAGTAATTAATGACATAGTGAGTTTACCAGTTTACCCCTATTAATTATGAAGTGGATGAAAAATTCTATATTGGGACTATCAGAGAGTTAACACACGAAATAAGATTCATAACTAACAAATAACATGTCTTTGAACAATACATAGATATATAGTCAAAGCTTAACTACTCCAAATAAAACAAATTACTAATGAGGCAAAGCAATACACAATTTACATGAAAGAAAACACTCAAAACATTAAGTTAAAACATCTCCAGAACAAGTTTGTTTATTGGAAGCAGTAATCAGATGAAATCAGATGGAAGCGTTGCGTTGTTTTCTTTCTTCATTGTTGTTCTATCCTTTGTGTATTCTGCAAATTATATATGTAAGTATATGAAGTGTATATGTATGGAGGGGTAAAGATGTAAGAAATTAATTACCTCTTCTTGACTTTGTTAGCAATGGAATATATGGACATGAAGTCTGTCCTCTCCTGCGAAATCAATTACATCTTTCTTAATCTCCATGGCTGAATCTACAACCTGACTGTTAATATTTGTTAAATGAACGAACTTTAAAGTATCTATATCCGCGAATGCACAAGGGATCTCCGTAAACTCCTCACAGTATTCTACTATTAATTCCTCAAGCTTGGGAAAAGTTTCCCTATCAACTTGCCATTCTGAAAGGTTGACCATTCGCAATGTCAAAGTCTTAAGACTTTGATACATGTCCTCACTTGCATCCCACTTACCCTCCACGAAATCAGAGTCGATAATCACCAGAATTTCAAGGTGAGGCAATGCCGCGATTGCTGACAACAAAGCAGGTCTCACGTGAAATAAATTCAACCGTAACTCTTTCAAGCTACTAGGGAAGTGATATTCATTGGGATGTGGTATTTGGTAGATTGACTCGGTGTGAAATAAGTACTCTTTGGGCATCCTGTATTTTGCAAAGAGTGATTCAAGTTTATTAAGAACATCAAGCTTGGGAAACCAATCGCCGTGTGTAGGAGTAAGAGGGTACCGCGGTTCCACAATGATGCGATGAAGGTGCTGAAGATTCGGGAACTTCTCCAGAGCATCACTCGTGGCTTCAGTGTATGAAGATTAAAAACTTTGGATAAAGTTGTCAAGTCTTCTAACTTTGGTTGATTCATAATATTGTCCGCATCCTCTTCCTCTTCAAAGAAAGAACTCGTGTCAATTTTCACATGTTTCAGCTTGACAGTTTTAATATTCTGGGCAGTAATACCATGGTGGAATATCCAGTACTGATCAACAGAGTTTCCAGATTCTGGAGGTTCAACCACGACACTGGGATAGCTTTTACACCTCGAGTCCGAATCCTTAAGAACCTCAAATGAAATAGGGAGCCAATTTCTTCCATTAAAGAATCATTCAACTCAATGCTATCCAGTTGCAATACTCTAACAAGTCCAAAGGGTCTTGTGTGACAGATATAGCTGGAGTGGAGAAGTGAACCGCTAACTTTCAAAGATACGAGATGCTTACTCCCAACTGAACACTTTTTAGACTTGAACAAAACACATTTTTTGTGGAGTTGGTTGTTGTCAGTACGAATGGTTAGACGATGGTGTAGGAAATAAGAAGCGTGAAATCGAGCACCTGGATTGATTAACTTGAGAAACTTTTCCTTTTTCGCTTTTACAGAACAAAAATCGTGCACAACATCATGCACATAGCAAACCTTGATCCTAACAGAAAAAGGCATATTCTTCTTGTAGAGCATATGATCCACCATTATCAGGCTACTGGAAACTAAAGCATCCAAGTATCTTTGAGTTGCTTCCTCTAAACTACACTTGGATGGGATATCATGGTTCACCAACCCTTCAGCCATCCACAACTGCATCAACTTAGAGACTGGAGTTCGTTTGCTCTTTCGAGATCTTGCAAAGTAAAGCAACAACGGCTTCAGGTGGTATGGTAAGTGGTCATAACTTAATTGCATAACCTTCATCATCTGCAAATTGATGTTGGCAGAAATAAAGGAATCCAAATTATCTTGAATATTAAGCCACAAATCATTTTCCATTTTCTTTCCTCTAACAATTACTCCAGCAATCAAAACAACAGCCAAAGGAAGCCCCTGACATTTGTCAACTATTTGGTGTCCAACTTCTGACAGTTCAGCAGGGCAGCTTCCTTCTCCAAATACCCTTTTT